CAGGTTCCTTCCACTTACCGGCACATTTGGTACCACTGATCACTCCTCCCCCTCGAAGCACCTCCCAGGCCCCAGGCTGCTCTCCACCCCTGTTCTCCCTGCTCCCCAGCCATGCTTTCTCTATCTCCCCTGCTGGATCCTTCTGTCCCTGAGTCCTCGACACTGCAGGGCCCCAGCCTGCTTCTCTGTTCTGAGCTCCAGACTAGCACACCTGACTGGTACTCAGAGGTGAGGGGTGGGGGGCACAGTGAAGGGTCCTAGGAGCAGCTCATCCCATCCCACAGGGCCCACGTACTGATACCACGTTTACCTCCTCAGCCCAGACCTCCCCTCAGTGCCAGATGCATCTGCTCATCGGGCAGCAGAGTCTCAGCTCTGCCTGACGGTCATGGCCTCTGCATCCTCCCTCCCCCCACCCTGTGTCTCCATCTCTCAGGAACCATCATCTGCACACATGTTATGGGCAACCTTCTCAGGGCCATGCTGGGCTCTTCCTTGTCTGCCAGAACCCCCACCACTCCATCAGCAAGGCCTGTGCTTCCACCTTCAGAACACAGCCCCCATCAGCATCTCTGCCACTCTCGCCCCCAGCACCCTGGCCACCCCTCTCCCCTGAACTGGAGCAGCCACTGCCTCCTGCTCTTCCCACCTCACGGTCCACTCTCACAGAGCAGCCAGGACACGTCCAATATAAATCAAGACTAGTGACGACCCTGCTCAGAAACCCCCAGGCTGCACATCCTACCCCATAGTTAAGCTAAAGGTTTCAGGAGGGCTCCCAGGCCCCTGGTTCCCTTTCTCCTGCCTGCACTCCACCAGCTCCTGTGACACAGGCTTCCTTAAATATGCTGAGCTTTTGGCACTAGGCTCCCTCTGCCAGGAATGCCTGGGCCCTGATGCTGGTGTCGCCATCGCTCCCTCTGTCCATCCCCAAGAGGACGCCTCAGCCCGTCCCACCTGCTTGTACCCCTACCTTGCTGGGACCCTCTCTGGGGCAGCTACGCTGCCTTGCTTCACCTGTATGGATTACCTGTGTAATGGCTTTCTTCCCAGGGGAACTGAGTCTCCATGAGGGCAGGAATGTCGTGTGTTTGGTGAGCGGAGGAGTCCCAGACCCAGAGGGGGCATTTAGTGGGAGTGAGGGCAGGCTGGTAGTGGGGACTCTAGCTCCCTTTGGCAGCTGTCACACAGCTCTGACTTGCAGATGGAAGACAGAGAGGCTCCCCCAGGCCAAGTAACGTGCTGAGCTCTCCCAGCCATCCGAGACGGCAGCTCGAGTTGGGCTGACTCCAGAGCCGGCTGGCCTCCTCCACATCTTATGGTTTCTCAGGCAGTCTTGCCCCCTGCAATTATCCCATCCATACTTCCATCTCCTGGGTGTGGGCTAACTTCTAAGTCATATAAAAATGCCTCTGCACTTTATACTGGAGAGCCGCACACCACCCTGGCCAACATGGTCAGCTTCCAAATGAGGCACCAGAGGTCACTTCCCAAACCCAGAGACCCTGGCCTCTGAGTCCTCTGTTTTCTCACATGTGAAAGGAGCAGGGTCACCCTCTGGAGAGATGGGGGGGGGGTTCCTATGTTCTCAATGACAGGGTAGGAATGAAAGGCGCCTCCCCTCCCCTCTCAGGAGGTCAGCTGGGCCCTTCTGAGACTGTCATGGGTTGGGAGTGGGTTGTACCCAGGAAGATTTTAAGGTATAAGGAAAACGGGTCTCCCCCATATGTGGGTTCTGTGGGAGTTCAAGACTAGGGTCCCAATGTTGAAAGCTTGCAAATGGATGGGGCTGCCCATGTGCCCTGAGAGGCCAGGCAGACACATTGAACACCTCACCATGCAGGGCCCCAGGAGGGCAGATTCAAGACACCAGGACAGAGACTGGTGGCAACACTGACCAAGCAAAGGCCACTATTTGCCACTTTCTGGACCACCTGAGCTTGGGGATCTATGCATAGTCTCCAGGGAAGGGGATGTCTCCTATGGAGGCCTTACAGCAGAGATGGCATTTCCTGCCAATCCCAGCTAGAACTGTCCATGAAACAAGTGGATATTTTTCACTCTATAAATATTTTTGAGGTCTACATGTTAATCTTCCCTATGTAAGTAAATAATATTGCATATAAATAATCTATTCGTTAACCATCCTGAGCATTTAAACCATCCTGAACGATTAAAAAGAGGGATTTGCACTTCGCACCTAGCTGCCCTGAGAGCTTTCTCAGACCGTGGTTTCGCAATGGGACTCTGTCCTCCACACGGATGGCACCAGCAGAGTCTCGGGGCCACAGCCTGGCAGCAGTGGGAAATGCCGGCATTTTTCAATGCCCAGATGCCTTACCCGCTTAGCTTCAGCTAGGGGTCTCCACCAAAATTCAGGAACAGAAAAGGCCTGCGGGGTCTTCAAGCCCAGTGACTTTGCAGCCCGTGAGAGGATCTTAGGTATGCCACAAAATTTTAAAAATATCATTAACTAAATTATTTTCAAAAGAAGTTCAAAGCACAGTAAGCATATTCTTTTTTTTTTTTTTTGCAGTTTTTGGCCGGGGCTAGGTGGGAACCCGCCACCTCTGGCATATGGGGCCGGTGCTCTACTCCTTTGAGCCACAGGCACCGCCCTACTCTTTTTTTTGACCAACATAATTTAAGTGTGTGTGGAACTTTAACTACAGGTTCAAGAGTGCCGTGAGATAAAAGAGGTTGGAAAACCCTGATGTAGCCCAAGCCCCTGCTTGAGAGCTGAGAGCAAGAGAGGCTTGGAGAAGTCAGTGGACAGTGGGCTACAGTCAGGTCTGTTCCCCAGCACAGGGGCCACCTCGCCCACTCGGGACAAACACAGCCGCCTGTCTTTCAGTTCTATCAACTCCGAGGACCCCGAGGACTCTTCCCCACCTGGGTCGGAGCCTGATCCCCAATCTCTGCTGCTGGTAATTTCTACAAATGAGCTGTAATTGAATCAACTTAACCCAGTAAGTCTGAGTTTTTAAAAGAGGTCCCTCAGCATGGATGGCTGAAATCAAATAGCATCTGTTTAAAATGTAGCCTAGAAGGTAAAATATAAGCGATAAAAATGAATATGTAAAATTATGGAAAAAATAACAGAAAACACATTCAAAAGAAGTAAAGGCTGTTGTTAAGCATGGAAGGGCTAAAGATGAAGGTCAACATGGCGGGCTCCCTCCCCCTGAGCAGGGCTCCGCTGTCTAATGAGAAGAGCATTTGGGCGCTTGGGCAGGGCGCTGGGGCACTGCAGCATCCCCCATCAGTGACTGTCAGTGCTGAACCCCAGGGGCGACGGAGCTGCCTTAGCATTCAATAAAGAGAAACTCAACAAAACCTGTTTCTTTCTTAACCCATACTAATTTTCCCTTCTCTATGAAGAGTGAATATTTAATGGAAATGTCCCCCATTTGCCCCACAGATCTACTCCGTACCCTGCCCACACTGCTCTGCACCCTCAGGGTGACCCGAAGGTTCATGGCAGTGAGCTCCCTGCAGCCTGCCCTTCTACCAGTCGGAGGTGCGGGCCAGAGCCCGGAGGGGCGGAAGGGTGTGCCCGGAGAACTTACTTCGCCACATCTCTCTCTCTCAAAGCCACTCCTCCTGCCAGTGGCTGTCTCCTCACAGCCACTTTCATCCTTTGCCTCTTTGCCAGGCCCTAGGGGTAACAATGGTCCCACAAAGGGTACGGCCCTTTGCTGGTGTCCCTAAACCCTCCCCACTCCTGGGCAAACAGTCCCATGTCATTAGTCTTGGTTCACCACCTCTTCTCTTCTCCTGAGAGCCTGACTGCCCGTCCACCAGCGTCAGGATCATACCAACCTCTTTCTCTTTTGTGTCCTTCTGAAACACTCAAAAGTGCTTGGCAATTGTCACTGGGCCTTGGCCGAGAGCTGAGATAAGGTCTACTCCCTAAAAGCGCCTTGCTGGTGGAATCCTAAACAGAATCCTCTCATGCCTGTGTGCAGGCATGCTCTCCCCCCCTGCTCTCCTGGGACGTTACACCAGAGAGCACCTCCATGGACCAGGCTTTTGGGGGTGGCGGCTCCACCCCATGGCAGACAGTAAGAGCTGACTGAAGGCTGGGTCAGACTGAAAGGGGAGCAGGGGTCCCCATGGCTGAGGACATGCTCCGTGGGTGTGCCGACAGCCCATGCAGGCAAGTGTGGCCCCCACTGGGAGGGGACAGTCACAGAGTTTCCTGCATGTGTGTCTGAAAAGCCCCCCAATATGTGATGTCACAGTATTTATAACACAGGTGATTGTAAGGGAAATAGGTATTGCTTAGGCAGAAACTAAATCTGCTTTAGATGTTTGCTTTGGACTAATTATTTTTTCTTAGAAACTGTAAAGAAGACCAGTGTAGCTTGCTCCTTGAATCTCTTTCTCACTGGGTGGTGAGAGGACATTCTGGAAGAAGAAGGAGACTGAAGTCAGGTTTCACGCTCCCTTCACCTAGAGGCTCGCATGGCCGGTGGGCAAGGAACACCATCTATGGACAGCACGTGTCACTCAGCACTCAGAATGTGTGTGCGGGCACATGTCTGCGGTGTGTGTGTGTGTAGGCCAGCAGTCTTCTCATCCTCACAGATGGGGAAACCAAGGCTCAGGAGGTTACAGGACTTGCCACGTCCACAGGAAGTGACAGAGGTCTCCTATTTTCTCTAAGGCTTACAGTCTGTCTTTAGTTCAATACCAATGAAGGAGTTGGGTGGGGACAGAGGGAAGCAAGGCAAGGAAGCACAGAGGTCTCTGTAGGGAGGACTGGGACTCAGGAGCCAGGGGAAATACCCAAGAGACTTCAGCACCACCTGGTCAGGGCCCTCCCTTCCACCCGTGCCAGGCTGGAGCATAATCTTCAGAACTTCAGTTGGGTGCAAGCACCCAGAATCCAAGTGGAGCGCTGTCTGGGCTCTGAGACCCGTGTGCTTCTACTCACCGAGTCAGGCCAGCTTGCACATTCACCCAAGAGCTTCAGCCCGCTGGTGGGGGCCACTCACCTGCCTGCTCCAAGGCGACCATCGTTGCCTGCTCGATCAAGTCCCGCTCGATGAAGCTCCGGAAATCCTCGCTGTACACGCTCAGGTCCGGCAGCTGGAAGGTGTAGATCGGCATCTCCAGGGGGAACTGTTCGTTGTTGCATTCACTTGCCACATGGGAGCGGGCCAGGGAGACGATGGCTGAGCTGGCATGGGAGATCCCCCTGGAAAGGCGTTTTTCTGCAGGGGGCGAAGGAAGGACAGCCACGGGGACTCAGTGGCGCAGGCACGGCTCTGTGCACCTGTACAAACACACACACATACCACACACATGTGCCCACATGTACACGCACACGGCAACACACTTGTGCCCGCACACACCCCCATACAGACACATGAGCACGTACAATGCACACATGCATCGCCTTTATATGCACATATGCACGTAGCATTTATATGCATACACATACACAAGAGTACACACATGTACGCCTGCACCCATATACTAGACTCACACACTGCAGTGTATACACACATGTGTATGAAGACACAGACTATACACGTGTACACACATACACTAGACAATACATCACCCTCATGAACACACATACACACGCTTATATAATACAACACACCGATACACACTATACACACATGTTCTCATGCACACTACAGTGTGCAAGTACACTGCACACACTCGCAAACACGATGCACCACACACACCCATATACACATGTGCACACCTGCGCACATACACACACCGTATCCCTCCACACTGCTCCATCCTATAAGCCTTTTCTACCCCATAGGCTGTCCTGCTGCTGGACTCACAACACCACCAACCGGAGCATAGCATTCCCGTGATTCATTAAAGGACTTGGGAAGAGGCATGCTGCAAGCCCCCTGCACCAGCACACACCAGCCGTGGCAAGAAGCCTGGGGTTTTGGATCTGGAGTTGTTTCTCACTCACTCTGCAGACCTGTGCTGTCCCCACACTGAATGGAATGAGGGAGACAGCTCTGCCTCTGTGACTTACGCAGCTGAGGCAGGAGGCAGTCTGCCCAGCTGCAGTCAAAGGCAGGTTACTCTGCTACAGTTACTGTGACAACCCCACCCCACATGACCCTCCCCAGGACACACATCTTAGTCATTTACTGTAGTTCTTTCCCACTGGATGCTCATCTGTCATGGCAGTCTCATAAACAATAGTCTCCTCTGCTCTCATTCTTCTGGGGCTTTCCAGCCAAGGCATGAGAACTGCAGGGCAGAATTTCTCTAAGGAGCAAGGTGTTACCTTGCTAGGAAGCTGATCACTACAGACTAGAAGTATTTGTTCTCCTGATGCTGCAAAAGCATGCTTGTTTTCTTGAGCCCTGTGTTTAGTGGCTAACATTGAACATAATACAAGAATTCTTCAATATATAGTGTTAGGAATAGGCTATTTTTTTTTTTTTTAACAGTCAGTGCTTGCAATAATGGAGAATCCTTTTAGCAAGGCAGTAGCTCTCATTTTTCTCAGTAAAACATAGAGCCGGGTGTTTGAATATAAACATTATCTAAAGGCTTTGGCAAATTCCTGAGTATGTTCACACGGGTTCCAAAGACCCCCACTTCATTTCAGATCAGCCTGCTCCCTAGTAAGGCCTGTGCCCCTTCTGAGCCATACTGCTGACCTGCACATCACAGCCACACAGAAGACCCCAGTCCACACGTCACCAACAACTAGACCTTCCCGCTCCCCTTGCTAGCAAGAGCACCAGACAGAAATGGCATTCCAAAAAAGAAATTTTGTTAGACTGAAAAGCAGAGTGTAACAAGTTAGTTTTACATCCAGAGGTAATCATGGAGCCTCATGGATTCTTGCCCATTGAAATGAATGGAAAGCCATGGAGACAGACCATATTTCAAAATGGTTAATTACGATTCACCTGCAGTTTCATTCTGAGACCAATAGGATTAAGTTCTTGTATTTTGAGGAAAGGCAAAAAGGGGAGTTGAATCGCACGGGTCATCATTGAGAAGACAGAGAGAATGCTCACGGCTGGGTTTCTCTGTCTGTGTTGTCCGGGATTAGCTCCATGGCTTCCTGTGCTGGGTCCAAGTCCTTGAGGGCAGGAGCAAAGGAAAACCCACGTTTCTGCTTCTTGAAAGCCACACCTTGATACAAGCTACCTTTCTTTGCCTGGGAAAGAAGGAACTGTCCTATCCTTTGGGATCCCATGGAGATGGGCATCAAGCATTAGAGAATGGAGGTGCCGTGTACACCGGCTGTCACGGGTCAGACAACCACAGGCTGCTCTCAGCAGTGGGAATCAGAGGCATCCACGGCAGCTCTGGGCTTACCAGCTTATCACCACCTATTTGTCAACCAATGAGTGCTGCTGGGGCCTTTAAATGTTGTGATTCATGAGACAACGCCATGCCAGTTCCAAAATCGTGAAGGAAAAACCCATCTTTAAACTAAAAACAGATTGTGTCCAAGATCAAATAATGAGAAATATATGTAATTAATTTAACAGTTCCTCAACATCACCTCTGTGGTTGCACATGTATAATCTCACTCTCACACACACAGCTCTCACTATCACACACAGACACATACACAGTTATATACACATACTCACAGACTGATTCTTTGAACATGAACTTGGTGACTTTTCTTTTACATGTATAAGTGAAATGTTTTGCAGGAATTACCACAATCAAAGTTGTGCCCCAAAGAAACACAGAATTAAAAAAAAAAAAACAAAACCCAAACTTAGTGGAAGAATGAATAGAATTTCTAAACCACTGACAAAGCCAACTCAAATGTGGATGGTTTAAGCCAGGGAGTTGTATTAACTATATTTCTATATTTTTTATGCTCTTGGCGCCCAGGACCTCCTGGACTGTGTTCTCCCAGGAGCACACCTTTCATGTCCCGGCCAGCCAAGCCAGAGTCCATACTCTGAATACCTCCTCCATCCCGCAGCCAGCAGATAACCAGAGCCTTCCCGAGGACCCACAGCCACTAAAATATTCCAACTAGCCAGGGTAAAGGTCACAGAAACCACAGGAAAGGCTCCGGCCCACTTTCCCTGTCTCCCTCTGCCCTCTGCCTGCCAGGTCCCTGACTCTAGAGAACCTTGGGTGAAACCTTTCCCTTTGTCACAGTCATTTCTGTGTCTGTGTATCTTACTGCACCTGATCCAAGCCAGTCCTAAGTACATTTTAAAAGGTGGGCACACCTTTTCCTAAAGGGACACAAATAAACGTTTTAGTCTTAATGTCACCTCTCAACTCTTTGTTGACAGCCATAGATGACACACATGGTCAGGGTGGGGTGTTCTAGTCATACGTCATGTAAAGAATGGGCCATGGCCAGATTCTGATCTAGAATATGAGATATTTCCCACAAGAATGGAGAAGCAAAAATCCATGTACTCAATACTAATGTGAAGTGAGTAGATGATCGAATACAGGCCCACATAAGAGAAAAACTCAAACCAATTCAGGGGTGGTGGTGGTGGTGGTGGTGGGAGAATGAGGGAGCAGGGAGAGGAGAAGGGGGAGGGGATGGGTGTGCTCCCACTTAATGGGCACAATGTTGGCGTGTATGACACACCTCTTGTGAGTGCGACACAATTACAAGAGAGACGCTACCTAACAAATAAAACATTGTAACCTAACTCTTTGTACCTTCAAATTAACCTGAAACAATAAAATAAATAAAGTAAAAAGAAATAAATAGAACACAGGATATTCCAAATGTCCATCAACCCGTGAATGTTTGAAGTGTGGCATCTGTACAACAGTGCCATGGAATATTATTCAGCCATAAGAAAAGATGGAGGATTTGTATCTCTTACGTGTACCTGGGTAGAGCTGAAAAACACTCTGCTTAGTAAAGTATCTCAAGAATGGAAAAAATATCCAGTGTACTCCACACTAACATGAAATCAATATATAGACGACTACATGCCCACACAAAAGATAATAGTCTAGCAGTGGGGGGAGAGGAGGGAGGAGGGAGGACAACTGGCGGGATCTCACCTAGTGTGCAGGGAGAGGAAGGAGGAGGGAGGACAACTGGGGGATCTCACCTAGTGTGCAGGGAGAGGAGGGAGGAGGGAGGACA